TAGACTTACACATGTGGGTATATATATACATACCTTGTGTATTCCATGGCATACATAATTACACCTAAGCCAGATGTGGCTTGTGTATATACACCTACCTGTATCGCTAACATCATTGTATGTAGATATATAGTAACATAATTAACTACCTGTTAGCAAAGATTACCTGGTAGCTATATATATATTAAGTGCTTTGAAAATTTCATTATGAAAGTTTGATTTGATTTGTTTTAAGTGTATAGAATTTGTACTAGACAGCAGCTAGTTTAGGATGCCGAACCTTTGGTGTTGGAGTGACAGCTAGTTTAGGATGCCTAACATTTGGTGTTGGGGTGACAGCTAGTTTAGGATGCCTATCCTTTGGTGTTGAGGTGACAGCTAGATTAGGATGCCTAACCTTTGGTGTTGGGGTGACAGCTAGTTTAGGATGTCTAACCTTTGGTGGTGGAGCGACAGCTAGTTTTGGATGCCAAACCTTTGGTGTTGAGGTGACAGCTAGTTTAGGATGCCTAACCTTTGGTGTTGAGGTGACAGCTAGTTTAGGATGCCTGGTGTTGGGGCGATAGCTAGTTTAGGATGCCTAACCTTTGGTGTTTGGATGACAGCTAGTTTAGGATGCCTGGTGTTGGGGCGATAGCTAGTTTAGGATGCCTAACATTTGGTGTTGGGGTGACAGCTAGATTAGGATGCGGGGCCTTTTGTGTTGAGGTGACAGCTAGTTAGGATGCCTAACCTTTGGTGTTGGGGCGACAGCTAGATTAGGATGCCTAACATTTGGTGTTTGGATGACAACTAGTTTAGGATGCCTAACCTTTGGTGTTGAGGTGACAGCTAGTTTAGGATGCCTAACCTTTGGTGTTTGGATGACAACTAGTTTAGGATGCCTAACCTTTGGTGTTGAGGTGACAGCTAGATTAGGATGCCTATCCTTTGGTGTTGGGGTGACAGCTAGATTAGGATGCCTAACCTTTGGTGTTGAGGTGACAGCTAGTTTAGGATGTCTAACCTTTGGTGGTGGAGCGACAGCTAGTTTTGGATGCCTAACCTTTGGTGTTGGGGCGACAGCTAGTTTTGGATGCCTAACCTTTGGTGTACGGGCGACAGCTAGTTTAGGATGCCTATCCTTTGGTGTTGGAGCGACAGCTAGTTTAGGATGCCTATCCTTTGGTGTTGGGGCGACAGCTAGTTTAGGATGCCTGGTGTTGGGGCGACAGCTAGTTTAGGATGCCTTACCTTTGGTGGTGGGGCGACAGCTAGTTTAGGATGCCTTTCCTTTGGTGTTGGAGCGACAGCTAGTTTAGGATGCCTGGTGTTGGGGCGATAGCTAGTTGAGGATGCCTAACCTTTGGTGTTGGGGCGACAGCTAGTTTAGGATGCCTTTCCTTTGGTGTTGGAGCGACAGCTAGTTTAGGATGCCTGGTGATGGGGCGACAGCTAGTTTTAGATGCTTTACCTTTGGTGTTAGGGCGACGCTCGTTTTGGATGCCTTACCTTTGGTGTTGGGAAGACAGCTAGTTAAGGATGCCTATCCTTTGGTGTTGGGAAGACAGCTATAGTTAAGGATGCCTACCCTGTTGTCTAGCCTTTGTACTGGATTTATTAAGATCAAACAAGTGAATTCCATTTGCAATTTAATGTTTAAGTGTGTAAGTAAACATATTTCATGATTAATACAGCTTTAACTTTAAAATGAACGACTGAGCAGATTTTGACCAAATTTGGTCAGAAGCATCCTTTAGGGAAGGGGAACAAATTTTGTATAAATGGTGGGTCTGGCCCCCCTGGGGGCTGAGGGGCGGGGCCAAATAGGGGAAACATCGCAAATTATTCTTTAAAATCCTTCTTCTTCTGTAGGAATGAAAGGATTTGGTTCATATTTGGTGTGGAGCATCCTTGGATAAAGGGGAACAAAAGTTGTATAAACAGGGGGTCTGGCCCCCCTGAGGGCTGAGGGGTGGGGCCTAATAGGGGAAATATAGCAAATTCTTTAAAATCCTTGTTCTTCTGTAGGAATGAAAGAATTTGTTCCATATTTGGTCTGAAGCATCCTTGGGTGAAGGGGAACAAATTTTGTATAAACCATGGGTCTGGCTCCCCAATGGCTTGAGCGGCGGGGCCTAAAAGGGGAAACATTGCAAATTATTCTTTAAAATCCTTCTTCTATAGGAATGAAAGGATTTGTTTCATATTTGGTCTGAAGCATCCTTGGGTGAAGGGGAACCAATTTTGTATAAACCGTAGGTCTGGCCCCTCAAGGGCCTGAGGGGCGAGGCCCAAAAGGGAAATATAGGTAAAACCTTAATAATCTTTCTTCTACCATTGGGATTAAGGGATATTATCCTAATTAAGTCTGGAGCATCCTTAAGCAAAAGGGATTCAGTTTCGTATAAACAGCGAGTGTGGCCCCCGTGGGGACAGAAGGGAGGGGCCCAATAAGGAAAACATAGCAAATTCTTCAAAATCCTTTCTTCTTCTGTAAGAATGACAGGATTTTGTCCAAATTTGGTATGAAGCACCCTTGGGTGAAGGGGAACCAATTTTGTATAAACAGTATGTCTGAGCCCCCTGGAGGCAGAGAGGTGGGGCCCAATAGGGGAAATAGAGTTAAAACCTTTAAAATCCTTCTTCTACCATAGGGATTCAGGGATTTTATCCTAATTTAGTCTGGAGCATCCTTGGGCCAAGGGGACTCAATTTTGTATAGGCAGTGGGTGTGGTCTCCCAGGGGGCGGGGTCCCAATAGGATTCAGGATTAAGAGATTTTATCCTTATTTAGTCTGGAGCATCCTTGGGTCAAGGGGACTCAATTTTGTATACTTGGTGGGTATGACCCCGCTAGGGGCATAGGGGTGGGGCTCTGTTTGAAGTTTGTTATCGCTATATCTCAAGTACTGGATGGATTTTTCTGAAATTTCATATGTACTTACAGCACCTACCATGGAGTGCTCTATCTTTACTTCATACCAATTATTTTAAACATATTCAGGTGAGCGATACAGGCCCTCTGGGCCTCTTGTTTTAAAAGAAACTATATAGTGTGTTATATACAAAGTGTATTATAGAGTTTCATGTTCAGGAGACAATTCCCTGTTAGTGGACATGTCCAACCTCACAAAGGGCATGTTTGCTTACATAAGTTCTACTATATATATATGTAAGTAACAACAGAGAATCAAGATTCTTTTTAAGCTCATCATCACTTGTCTTGTTTTTAAACTTTTCATCTAAACCCAGACTTCTGCATGTATAATAAAAAATACAATAACATATTTTGACAAAATGTTTGTTAGAAATATCCCGTAACTGAACATTATAAATGGAGACTATGCATGTATGGCTCCCATATGCATGAAGGCAGAGGAAAGGGGACCAATAGTGGAAATATGTGTAAACATAAATGAAAGTGTGTATATTTGATATCTTGCAGCATAAGATGACAGACAGACATAAGATAAATTAATATACATATAAAACCTCTTGTGATTTGGTGTTTTCTTCATTTTTAGCTCACCTGGTCCAAAAATTAATGGACCATAGTGAGCTTCTGCTGTGGCGCAGTGTCCTTACCTACATGTATCTCCTACTAATCGCCAAAGAGGATTTCAACCAAATTTGGACTGAAGCATCAGTAGGGACGGGCAATCATTTCTTAAATAAATGAGGTTTGTTCGACCCCTGAGGCAAGGGGGGCGGGGCCCTGAAGGGGAACTTAGCTAAATTTGCTTTAAAACGCATCTCCTGCTAAATGCCAGAGAGGATTTCAACCAAATTCCGAAGCATCAGTAGGGAAGGGCAAACATTTCTTGAATAAATGAGGTTGGTTCGACCCCTGAAACCAGGGGGGGCTGGGCCCTGAAGTGGAACTTAGCTAAATTTGTTAAAAAACCCATCTCCTCCTAAACTCCAGAGAGGATTTCAACCAAATTTAGTCTGAAGCATCAGTAGGGGTGGGCAATCATTTCTTAACTAAATGAGTTTGGTTCGACCCCTGAGGCCAGGGGGGCGGGGCCCTAAAGGGGAACTTAGCTCAGATTTAAATTTAAAACCTAAAGCCTCCTTAAAACCAGAGACGATTTTAACCAAATTTGCTCTGAAACTTCATTGGGGGAGGGCAAATAATCCAATCATTTCCTAAATAAATGAAGCTGGTTCGACCCCTAGGGCTAGGAAGGCCGGGCTCCAAAGAGGAAAATTATCTAATATTTTGCTTTAAGACGCTCATAACCCCCATCCCCCATCCCCGGGTAATTGCCTGTGTAGATTGTACAAAATTTGGCAAAAAACATTATTGAGGAAGAACAAACATTTCTTAATTGAATGAGGTTGATTTGACCCCTGTGGTCCTAAGAAATGGTACAGCTAGATTATCATGTTCTATGGTGTAGTTTTCATAAATTGTTAAAAATTGGTTTCAAGGTTTATAAAAGCTTATAGTTGAATGAAAATTATAGTATTGTCTAATTACACCCTTATTACTTATTACAAAATCTGTTAACATGGTAACTCAATGGAGGCCCCTGATTAGTTGAAAGTCAGATATTGTGGTCCCAGTTGGGTTAGAACATAGATCTTGTCTGGTTTTGAGGAAATTTCATATAAAAATGCATTCAGTTGTAATGACTTATACATAAAAACCAGGTGAGCAATACAGGTCCAATAGACTTCTTGTTAATCTAGGGCATTGACAGTAATTAATAAACCATGACCGATAATGATACACTTAGTTACAAATTCAGCAAGCAATTAATGCAATAAGCTATTTCATGTTGACATACATCATATTGACTGAAAAAAAGCAGACTGAATTTAAAGGCATTAGTGTATATATATGAGAGCTGTGAGTTTAAGAGAAATCTGAAACAAGGTGATATAACTTGACCTATACTTGTTGATATTTTCATGATTCTATTTTACTCTTATAAAATTAATCAGTTGATTATTACTAAAAGCGAGAATATTATTATCAATTTGTTTAACTAATTATTTTTGTCTCTTTTCAGAATTCAATTCGACACAACTTGTCTCTACACAGTCGGTTTATGAGGATTCAAAATGAAGGCACAGGCAAGAGTTCTTGGTGGGTCATCAACCCTGATGCCAAACCTGGTAAAACGCCACGAAGGCGGGCTGGTAGCATGGAAACAAAAAGCTACGAGAAACGGCGAGGAAGGGTAAAGAAGAAAGTAGAAGCTTTACGTGCAGCACTCGAGAATAACAACAGTCCATCGTCCACGACGGACGACTATCTTACTGACTCTCCGCTGGGATTCCAGCTCAGTCCAGAGTTCCGACAGAGGACGAGTTCAAATGCCAGTAGTTGTGGTCGGCTTTCCCCGATACAGGCTGGCATTGAGCCTGATCTCCATGACAACCAGGTACCGCCCATGTCCCCTATCCCGTGGGGGAGTGAGGAGGGCTCTGTGCCTAATTATGACCAGATGGGACAGTATGACCAGCTGGTCGACACTCTGGTTGACAGCATGAAGCTGGGGGAAAGTAACATGGGCTTAGGTATTGACAATGGTGTGGGACTGGGGGTCTGTGAAGGTGATATAGAAATGCTGACAGAGTCCAGCTTACAACAACAGCTCATGCCTCCAAGTGACAATATAAATCTTTCCCAGTATAGTGATCAAAGTGCCAACTATGATGATGCTCAGTACAGGAACATGCCTGCCCCACCCCCTTACAGGGATGCCATGCGCCGCAGCCCACAACAGCAGGGTGTGGACCAGCTCCCACAGAATGGGAACTTTTCAGACCTGAGTCTGTCCCAGCAGAATGCCCTGAGAATTTATGCACAGACATCTGATGCAGGTCTGTTTACTGGGGACATGTTGCTGCAGCAGGCCCGTATTAGCCCCAGCTCCAGTCAGCTCAGTGTTAACACTCAACAGCAACAGTTGTCCTCCCCAGCCAGATCTCCCCAAGGTTGCCAGCAGATCAGCCCTTCCCAGTATGACAGTCGGGTGGGGTTTTCTCCCTCCCCACAGTCCAAGCAACTGTCCCCTCAGCTCACCAGTCGCCAGCAGCACTCTATCCTGCAGCAGTGTCTTGAGGCACCTTCAGACTCACTGTTAAGGGCAGCCCTCACACAGAACTCAGGTCTGACCCAGCAGAAAACCCTATCCTACCAACAGATGCCCATGTCATCATCACCCTCTTCGCAGCCACAGTTCAATGTGCGCTATGGCAGCACGCAGCTCAACATGAGGCCACAACAACCTGCTCCAGGTATTAATGGAATCAACAATAATATTGCATCCACAATGCGCCAACAACAACAACAACAACAGCCGCAGCAAATGAGTCATGGTCTGTTGGGTAATATCGGAAGTGTTCCTCGTCAGTCCTCTAACAGTCCTCAACTTGTGCTATCTTCATCCAACAGACAGAACATATCACCTCAGGAGCAAGGGATGGCCAACATGCCACCCACTGCTCCAAGCTCCAACTCCCTTAATGAAATTGAGGCCGACTTCTTTGATTTGGGATGTGACATGGAACAGGTGCTTCAACATGAACTCAGTCTTGAGGGCAATCTAGATTTCAACTTCGATACCATGAATAATAGCTCCTCAGCTTCCTCTGGAACAGACGCTCAGAATTTGGTACGATAATGATGGTTGAGGTTTAGAACTTCTGTAGTTAGTGGTTCGCCAGTTGTGGTGATAACTGGAGAAATGCATGCATACCTGTGTGTGTTGAGACCAGTCTCACCTGGCGAGTCTCGCGTGTTGTGCTTTAGGATACTGTACCAATGGAGCCTTACTGTGGGGAACTCCAAAAGTGGGCCAGTCCTGTTGGTGGGGCGATTTCACCCTACGTCATCTGACGAATCTGTCTTGTGCTCCTTGCCACGAATAGCATCAATATACAATACATATTATATGTACAATACATATATGTATGTTGAGGTTGGAGTTCAGAAATAATGTGTATTGATACAGAATCATGTTGTATACTGGTAAAAGTGGCCTCGTCATTATTGTGATCCCTGGTATCCCGGGGGTCCAGATTGACAATTGTTGTCTATAATGTGTTAACATTGGAAAGGGATATGTTGTGAAGAGGAGTGTTTATTGTAGGTGCATACTGTATAGTGGTGTAGTACTTCAGTGTCTAGCTCGGCACTTCATTGTCACAGTGTTCATTTCTGTCAGATACAAGTAAGCTCAAGCTCGGATTCAAAATAAGTATAACCACATCGTGTTTTTACTAATTAGGACAAAATATGTTTTTTGACCACATAGGTTTATACTCCAACATATGGAAGTACGATAGTACATAAATACATTCTAATATATCCGGTACTCTAACTTCTATTGTATTACAGACCTGTGCTGCAACTGTACAACATCATGCTTTACTCTGAGATCTGTGTTTTAATGGTCCTGCTACCAGTTCTGGAAGGGAAGAACAGTGCTATCACATACTGGTACATGTCATCCCTGGGGAGGGCAGAACAGTGCTATCACATACTGGTACATGTCATCCCTGGGGAGGGCAGAACAGTGCTATCACATACTGGTACATGGCATCCCTGGGGAGGGCAGAACAGTGCTATCACATACTGGTTCATGTCATCCCTGGGGAGGGCAGAACAGCACTATCACATACTGGTTCATGTCATCCCCGGGGAGGGCAGAACAGTACTATCACATACTGGTACATGCCATCCCTGGGTAGGGCATAACAGCACTATCACATACTGCTCCATGTCATCCCTGGGGAGGGAAGAACAGCACTATCACATACTGTTCCTCTCATCAATCTCTGGTAGGGCAGAACAGCACTATCATATACTGGTACATGTCATCCCTGGGTAGGGCAGAACAGCACTATCACATACTGTTACACTCATCAATCTCTGGAAGGGCAGAACAGCGCTATCACATACTGGTACATGTCATCCCTGGGGAGGGCAGAACAGCGCTATCACATTCTGGTACATGTCATCCCTGGGGAGGGCAGAACAGCCCTATCACATACTGGTACATGTCATCCCTGGGGAGTGCAGAACAGCGCTATCACATACTGGTACATGTCATTCCTGGGTAAGGCAGAACAGCGCTATCACATACTGGTACAGGTCATCCCTGGGGAGGGCAGAACAGCGCTATCACATACTGCTCCATGTCATCCCTGGGGAGGGCAGAACAGCGCTATCACATACTGGTACAGGTCATCCCTGGGTAGGGCAGAACAGTGCTATCACATACTGGTACATGTCATCCCTGGGCAGGGCAGAACAGCACTATCACATACTGGTACAGGTCCTCCCTGGGTAGGGCAGAACAGTGCTATCACATACTGGTAATGTCATCCCTGGGGAGGGCAGAACAGCACTATCACATACTGGTACAGGTCCTCCCTGGGTAGGGCAGAACAGTGCTATCACATACTGGTAATGTCATCCCTGGGGAGGGCAGAACAGCACTATCACATACTGGTACATGTCATCCCTGGGGAGGGCATAACAGCGCTATCACATACTGCTACATGTCATCCCTGGGGAGGGCAGAACAGCACTATCACATACTGGTACATGTCATCCCTGGGTAGGGCAGAACAGCACTATCACATACTGGTACAGGTCATCCCTGGGTAGGGCAGAACAGTGCTATCACATACTGGTACATGTCATCCCTGGGGAGGGCAGAACAGTGCTATCACATTCTGGTACATGTCATCCCTGGGGAGGGCAGAACAGCTCTATCACATACTGGTACATGGCATCCCTTGGGAGGGTCACGTCACATACTGATACACATGTCATCCATGTATCATACACATACTCACACATGATGTAGCTTTCATGAGATGTATCAAATTGAAAATATATTTTTCACACTTTGCAATCATCTTCATCCAAATGGACTGCTTGGATGTCTTATATGTATAAATGTGAAATGTGATCACATTTAAGATCATGCTATAGAAAAATGATACCTGTTTCAAATTAAAAGTTTTCATGAAATTTATATATACTGTATATATGGAAGTTGAGAGTAATGTTAGCTGTTGTATATCTTGTCTCAGATTTGTGCTAGGTGTGTGCCATGTGTGCTAGCTCGGTGTTCGAATCCAGGATTATTAAATATTACATATTTTTTATTTATTTTGAAAATGATGAAAAAGCATGGCCATTGAATGACTGGTCATGGTTTTAATTATTTTGATTATAAGTATTTCTTTTCATTTTAGAATTATTTTGAATATTCTGAATATGAGACGGTTTTGGTGAAAGCATCTATTAGTTGATCCTTGATTGGCATGCGTTACTGGTTTAAACAAAACACCTATTAGTTGACTAAGATGGACTTTTTATCATTTGGAGGAGGGTGGCTGTAGGATTACTGTATATCAGTCAAGTCTTCACTCTTCAGTAGTAACATCCATGTCTGCCCAGGGTGTTCATTTCGCCCAATCAGCTGAAATTGCCATACATGGTATGCTGCATACTTGTATTTGCTATCAATTCACACTCATAATGGAGGGTGAGCAAATTGTTGGTTTTGCTGTTATGGCCATAATCCATACCGACGCTGATATAATGAACTTCAAAATGTATCCATTTCCGTAAAGTTTGGCTTTGAGATTCGAAAGCTGAACTCTGGGTGGTAAGAGACTTATTTCTAGTGCAGCTAGCCTATGACAGGTCACTGGTGACACTGTATGAGTACTGCCCTAGTTAGTGGTTTTAGATAGGCCTGATTGTCTGCTTTTGAAAGAATGTGTTACTATTTATAAGTCATCAATACTAAATGCTGCATACACAACTACCGGTAAGTATATTTACATGACAATAGCAGCGGTAGTAGTCTGACTTGCCTATATATAAAAACTTATTGATTTTCCCTGCTGACTGCTGTGTTGTATAGCTAGGCTTGACTTGTAGGTCATCACATTAGGCTACTTTATGGTAAAATTTTCCATCATTTCACAATGCAATATGATATTTGAAAAAGAAACAGAAGTGTGCATGGTTTAAAAAGATTAAGGTTTTCACTATAAAAATACAATGTTGTATGTTATAAATATGAATTCTATCATTGTAAAAGTTAATTAAATGAATTTCTTATTAACCCTTTCACCCCTATGCAACTTTAGTGGACTCTATCATGCTTTGATCTGGATGAGTCCATTATGGTCTGCAGTGTTGAAAGGGTTAACAGATGGCCTTTACTGAGCCCACAACCAGCAGTCAAAATATTTGAGAGTCCTTATTATCAAATCACAGTCAAAGACAAAATAGGACTTCATTTTTAGGTTTATCTTCCTTTTCTGTCTTGTAATTTTTAAGATATTACTGGCCTTGGAGTAAATGTAATGTTTTTGTATCTGCAAGATTGGATGCTACTAGTTACTCTCCGTCTACCTTGGTTGTTTCTACCCCCTGTCTGAAAAGGGCAGTTCTGACCGATTGGTTACAACAGTGAAGCTGACCCCTGCCTGACTGGGGTAGTGCTGACCCCTGCCTGAATGAGGGATGGTGCTGATCCGTGCCTGACTGGGAGATGATGCTGACCCCTGCCTGACTGAGGATAGTGCTGACCCCTGCCTGACTGAAGGATAGTGCTGACCCCTGCATGACTGATGGATGGTGATGACCCCTGCCTTACTCAGGTGGTGCTGACCTCAGGCTGACTGGGATGGTGCTTCTCCTTGCCAAACTCTGTGGTGCTGACCCCTGGCTGACTGAACTATGGTGCTTCCCCATGTCTGACTGAGTAGCTATATGGCTGGCAGAGAGCAATGGTACAGGTGTCCCTTCCACACTGCCATTGATTTTTCTGAGTAAGTGGAATTCATTAATGTGTGGAGCTGACCTATAAAGGCCAGCTTGCTGCAGATGCTGGCAGTTTGCAGGTCACCCAGGGATTCCTGGTATTGATCCGACTAGCCACAGGCGGCTGGCTGTCCATGTAGGGCTCTCCAAAACCTAGTGTGTTGTATGCTAATCACCTTCCCCAAATACTAATATAGGTAAGTTAGGTTAGAATAGTTTAAGTAAACCCATCTTATCCCAAAACACTGTTAGTCTTTCTATTCGTGTAGCATTTAAGGCTCATAACAGTCTTTTCTGTTGTCAACCTAGAATGATAGTGTAATCACTATCTACAGTCAACCTAGGGTGCTGGTGTATGCTAGTGTAGTCACTATCTACAGTCAACCTAGGTACTGGTGTATGATAGTGTAATCACTATCTACAGTCAACCTAGGTGCTGGTGTATGCTAGTGTAATCACTATGTCCAGTCAACCTAGGTACTGGTGTATGCTAGTGTAATCTCTATCTACAGTCAACCTAGGTACTGGTGTATGATAGTGTAATCACTATCTACAGTCCACCTAGGGTGCTGGTGTATGCTAGTGTAGTCACAATCTACAGTCAACCTAGGTACTGGTGTATGCTAGTGTAATCTCTATCTACAGTCAACCTAGGTACTGGTGTATGATGTACATGTGTGTGGAGTACTGATGTATCATGTACATGTGTGTCGAGTACAGTACTGATGTATGATGTACATGTGTGTGGAGTACTGATGTATCATGTACATGTGTGTCGAGTACAGTACTGATGTATGATGTACATGTGTGGAGCACTGATGTATGATGTACATGTGTGTAGAGTACTGCTGTATGATGTACATGTGTGGAATACAGATGTATGATGTACATGTGTGTAGAGTACTGCTGTATGATGTACATGTGTGGAATACTGATGTATGATGTACATATGTCTGGAGTACTGATGTATGATGTACGTGTGTGTGGAGTACTGATGTATGATGTGCATGTGTGTGGAGTACTGATGTATGATGTGCATGTGTGTAGAGTACTGATGTATGATGTACATGTGTGGAGCACTGATGTATGATGTACATGTGTGTAGAGTACTGCTGTATGATGTACATGTGTGGAATACAGATGTATGATGTACATGTGTGTAGAGTACTGCTGTATGATGTACATGTGTGGAATACTGATGTATGATGTACATGTGTGGAGCACTGATGTATGATGTACATGTGTGTAGAGCACTGATGTATGATGTACATGTGTGGAGCACTGATGTATGATGTACATGTGTGTAGAGCACTGATGTATGATGTACATGTGTGGAGCACTGATGTATGATGTACATGTGTGTAGAGTACTGCTGTATGATGTACATGTGTGGAATACAGATGTATGATGTACATGTGTGTAGAGTACTGATGTATGATGTACATGTGTGTGGAATACTGAGGTATGATGTACATGTGTGGAGTACTGATGTATGATGTACATGTGTGTAGAGTAATGATGTACATGTTTGTGGAGTACTGATGTAAGATACTCTTTCACAGTGAGTGAACTGCTGAGGATAGGTTACTCCTACTTAACTAGCTGCTCATTATGTGGTGACAGAAAAACTGACGTCAAACAAGTGAAGAAAACAGACAATCCTTGCAAAACATCTGGTTGTCAAACAAAACAGGATACATATATATATATATCTTCTGGTTCCAAACATTTTTTAACTAGTGACACAGAAGGTACTCCATAATAGTGAATGCATCAAGCTAGTACAGCAAATAATGTGACAGGAAATAATTGACAACACGATTAGTAGTTATTATTGCAGTGTAATATAGTGTATATGTAACGGTGCAGTGTAT